AACAGAAATCTTAGGGCTAAAAAATACAATGAATGAAATAAGAAATGCAATACAGAGAATTAACAGCAGAATTAACCAAGCAGAAGAAAAAAAAATTAGTGAAATCAAAGAGAGACTATTTGAAATACAGCCAAAGAAGGAAAAAGAATAAAAAAAATAAAAAGAAACAAGTGAGGGATCTGGGCAAGATGGCCAAATAGGAACAGCTTCAGTCTCCAGCTCCCAGCGAGATCAACTCAAAAGATGGGTGATTTCTGCATTTCCAACTGAGGTACCTGGTTCATCTCATGGACACTGAGTGTAGCCCACAGAGAGTGAGTTGAAGTAGGGTGGGGTACCCCCTCATCTGGGAAGCACAAGGGGTCAGGGACTTCCCTCCCCTAACCATGAGGGACTGTGACAAGAGGAATGATGGACTGTGACCCAGATACTACGCTTTTCCCATGGTCTTCACCACCCACAGACCAGGAGATTCCCTCCAGTGTCTATGCCACCAGGGTCCTGGGTTCCAAGTACAAAACTTGGTGGCCTTTTGGGCAGACACCAAGCTAGCTACAGGAGTTTTTTTTCAAACCCCAGAAGTGCTTGGAACGCTGGCAAGACAGAACCATTTAGTCCCCTGAAAAGCGGGGTGAACCCAAGAAGCCAAGTGATCTAGCTCAGTGGATCCTACCCCATGGAGCCCAGAAAGTTAAGCTCCACTGGCTTGAAATTCATGATGCCAGCACAGCAGTCTGAAGGCAACCTGGGATGCTTCAGCGTGGTGGGAGGAAGGGTGTTCATCATTACTGAGGATTCAGTAGGCAGCTTCCCCACCCCCAGTGTAAATAATGCTGCTGGGAAGTTCAAATTGGGCAGAGCCCACCACAGCTCACCAAAATCACTATAGCCAGACTGCCTCTCTGGATTCCTCTTCTCTGGTCAAGGCATCTCTAAAAGAAAAGCAGTAGCCCCAGTCAGGGACTTACAAATCAAACTCCCATCTCAAAACACCTGGGGGAACAAAGCATCTGGGGAAAGGGGCGGCTGTGGGCACAGCTTCAGTAGATTTAAGTGTTCCTGCCAGTCGGCGCTGAAGAGAGCAGTGGATCTCCCAGCACTGCTCACAAGCTCTGCTAAAAGACAGCCTGCCTCCTCAGGTGGGTTTCTGACCCCCATGGCTCCTGACTGGAAGACACCTCCCATCAGGGGTCGACAGACATCTCATACAGGAGAGCTCCAGCTGGCCTCTGGCAGGTGCCCCTCTGGGATGAAGCTTCCAGAAGAAGGAAGAGGCAGCAATCTTTGCTGTTCTGCAGCCTCTGCTAGTGAAACAGGCAAACAGGGTCTGGAGTGGACCTCCAGCAAACTCCAAAAGAACTGTAGCAGAGGGGTCTGACTGTTAGAAGGAAAACTAACAAACAGAAAGAAATAGCAACCCCTCCTCTTTTTACTTTTCTGTATGCTTGACAGATTTTTTTGCCATCTCTTTACTTTTGGACTATGGGTGTCCTTGCACGTGAGATGGGTCTCCTGAAGACAACATACAGTTGGGTCTTGTTTCTTTTTCTCCTTTTTTTTTTTTTTTTTTTTGACAGAGTCTCACTTTGTCACTTAGGCTGAAGTGCAGTGCAGTGTCATGATCACAACTTACTGCACCCTGCACCTCCCCAGGCTCAGGTGATCCTCCTACCTCAGCCTCCTCAGTAGCTGGGACTACAGGCATGTACCACCATTCTTGGCTAATTTTCTTATATTCTTTGTAGAGATAGGGTTTTGCCATGTTGCCTACATTCATCTCAAACTCATAGGATCAAGCAATCTGCCTGCCTCAGCTTCAAAGTGTTAGGATTACAGGCATGAGCCAGGGTCTCATTTCTTTATCCAACTTGCCATTCTGTGCCTTGTAAGTGGGGTGTTTTGCTCATTTATCTTCAAGGTAAATATTCCTAAGTGTAAAGTTGATTTTGTCATCATTGTTAGCTGATTGTTATGGAGACTTGATTGTGTAGTTCCTTTATAGCATCACTGGTCTGTTAAGTGCATTTATGTGGTGGTTGGTAAGGGTCTTTTATTTTCATGTTTAGCACCCGCTTAATGACTTCTTGTAAGGCAGGTCTGCTGGGAATAAATTTCCTTAGCATTTCCTTGGCTGAAAAGGATTTTATTTCTTTTTCACATATAAATCTTATTTTGGCTGGATATGAAATTTTTGGTCAGAATTTCTTTTCTTTAAGAATGCTGAGGCCAGGCACGGTGGCTCACGCCTATAATCCCAGCACTTTGGGAAGCCAAGGCGGGTGGATCACGAGGTCAAGAGATCGAGACCATCCTGGTCAACATGGCGAAACCCTGTCTCTGCCAAAAATACAAAAAATTAGCTGGGCATGGTGGTGCATGCCTGTAATCCCAGCTACTCAGGAGGCTGAGGCAGGAGAACTACCTGAACCCAGGAGGTGGAGGTTGTGGCGAGCCGAGATTGTGCCATTGCACTCCAGCCTGGGTAACAAGAGCAAAATTCCGTCTCAAAAAAAAAAAAAATGCCAAATATCGGCCCCCAATGTCTTCTAGCTTCTAAGGTTTCTGCTGAAAGGTCTGCAGGTTGCCTTTGTAGGTGACCTGCTCCTCCTCTCTGGCTGCCATTAATGTTTTTTCTTTCACATTGACCTCAGATAATCTGATTTTTATGTATCTTGGGGATGGTTGTCTTTTATAGTATTTTGCAGGGGTTCTCTGAATTTCTTGAATTTGAATGTTGATCTCTGTAGTAAAGTTGAGAAAATTGTCATGGACAATATCCTCAAATATGTTATCAAGTTGTTTGCATTCTCAATCTCTCTCTCTCTCTCTCTCTTTCAGGGACATTAGTGAGTATAGATTTTGTCTCTTTACATGATCTTATATTACTCAGAGATTTTGTTTATCCTTTTATATTATTTTTTCTTTCTTTTGTATGACTGCGTTAATTAGAAGAACTGGTTTTTGAGCTGTGAGATTCTTCCCTCATTATGGTCTATTATGCTTTTTATATTCCAATTGTATTATAAAATTATTTAGTGATTTTTTTTAGCTCTATCAAATCAGTTTATTTCTTTCTTAAAATGGCAATTCTGTCTTTCAGTTATTGTATCATTTTACTGGATTCCTTAGATTCTTTGGATTGGGTTTCAACTTTCTTCTAAATCTCATGATTTTCATTACCATCCAGATTCTAAAATCCATGTTTCTTATCTCAGACATTGCAGTCTTGTTAGCAATCACTGTTGGGGAACTAGTATGTTGATCTGGAAGTAAGAAGACACTCCGGCTTTTAGAGCTGCCTGAGTTCTTCCGCTGGTTCTTTCTCATCTATGCGGGCTGACTTTCCTTTAACCTTTAAAGTTGCTGTCCTTTGGATGGGGATTTTTGCTTTTATATTCTTTGATGCCCTCAAAGGTTTAGTTATGGTGTAAGTTTGGTTCAATCAGCTAGCTTTATTTCTTGATGATTTCAGGTGGGCATGGCTCAGCTCAGCACTCCTGGGCTATGTGCTCTAACCCTGAGGGCCTGGGACCAGGCCCAGAGCCTTGTTCTTTGGCCTCTTGAGATTCAGCCCTTGCTTCACCAGAGGGGCCAAGGTGTTCCCGGTTCACTAAAACAATACTCCCATGGTTGGGGTGGGGGTGCTGCTAGCAAAAGAGTAGTGGCAGTGGGGTCTCCTCTCACATGCATGTACTGGCAGCAGTGGGTGTGGTGGGGTACAAACTCACATACATGCTGGTGGTGGCAGGGCAGCAGGGTAGCACATTCCATGCACCTGTACACCAGGAATGGTAGCGTGGCAGGGTACATGCACGCATGTGGGCTAGTGTAGACAGGGGAGCAGTGGTGAGGTCTTCATGCATGTGTGCACACCAGTGGTGGCAAATCAGCGAGGTCTGTGTGTGCATGCCTGCAAAGCAGTTGGGGTTGCTGCAAGCAGGTGCATACTGATGTGAGGCCAGCAGCAGAAGCTCTCTGGTGGTTTGTTGGGGTGAGCCAGTGAAAGAGCTATGGCAGTGGCCTCTGAGAATTGCCTCAGTTGAGCATCTGAAGCTGTGCTACAAGCAGATACGGACAGACAGGGATCCTGGGAGAGGCCAGCAGACATGGGGGTGCTCAGATCAGGCTAACCCCATTCAACTAGCAAGGTAGCCCTGTTCTGTCCAGGTCTGATAGTCAACAACGTGGTCAAAGCCACCTAGAGGAGCATGGCAAGCCTTGGGAAATGGATATTCCTAACCATGCTCCACTGTAGCTGCTCTCACACCAAACCCTCTGGCTTACACAGAAGCTGGAGTCCTGTCCCTGCCAACTCTGCAAGCAGCTCTCCCTGCCAACTCAAATGTCTGTGTGGATCACAGGGTCTCCTGCAGCTAGGATTCCAGAGGTTCATGGTGAGAGCGGATGACTTCATGCCTATTTAGCTCACCCTTTCCCTAGAAGCCACTGAGGACCAGGAACAAGTCCTAGTGTTTGGCAACCCTGTGTTGGGTTCACAGCTTCTTCCCCCCTTCAGCCCAGGGCCTGCATTCTCCCTCCATCCACTTTCAATGCCTTCTTTCCAATGATCTGCTCAAAGTATACTGCTCTTCTTGATGGTCTTATCTCTTGGTGGGAGAAGCTCTTCCTGGCTGCGTCTAGTCAAACATCTTGTCTCTCCTCCCAAAAATAAGTTTAATTGTATATACTTTTGGCTTTATTTCCATTTCCTGGGTGTCCTAGCATCATCTCTAGTGATCTCTCAGTATCTGCAGATCACAGGGTGACTATGGGTGCAGCAGAGTCACTTAGGGCCTCCTGGAGCCGAGGACATGAGCAGTGGAGGCAGAACCCAAGCTGGGTGAGTGGGCACAAGGAGACAAAGACCTTGCCAGATCTGGGAAGCCACCTCCTCCTCCAAAAAAAGTTATATCCATACATGGAATTCTATTCAGAAGTAAAAAGGAATGGTTACTAATACACTGAGTGGCATGAATTACTTACAACCATATGCCAAATTGAAGGCAAAAAAAGACAATATATATTTATTTCCATCTTAATAAAATCATAGAAAATACACATTTAAGCTTAAGTGGCATAAAGTATATCAGTATTTGCAAGAACGCCAGGTTGGTGGTGTGCTTGACTACAGACAGGTATGAGGGGTTATGAAATTTTACATCTTGATTGTGGTTTTGTTTACATGAGCTTATAAAATTGTCAAAGTTAACAGAACTTTGTTTTATACACTTAAAAAGACTGAAATTTTACTGTAAATTATACATCAATAAAATTTATTTTAATATTTTTAAAGAAACGAAAACAATGAAAAAGAAACATTGACAGATTGGGGAAGCAAACACTGCAGCTTCCGGAGAGTGGACACCATCTCATTTGTTTTATCCTCCACCAGTTTAGCGGCTGTATGTGCCTGTCTCAAATCGGTACCTAAAAAATATTAGTTGAATAGGTGAATGAAACCTAAAGGGACTAAAGTTTAGCTAAGGCTATCTCAGATAGCACACTCCTTTAGGAAATTTGTCTTCCATATACAGTGCAACAGTTGCCCTGACCCCACTCCAACCCTGAGGCCCAACTCTCTTGCTCCTCTTTCTTAAGCATTCTGTGACACATCTGCACCACGAATCATCAAGCATAACTTGCATACTCTCTATTTGTATTTGTAACTCTCTGTGTTTAGAAAATAAGCGTATCAAGGGGCAAGCCTGCACATTTCCTTGAAAGTTTAGGGAGAAAATGAGGGAGCTAAAGGAAAGTAGAATTCCTCTTCTAGGTATGAAGCATTTACACAAAAAGAGAAGTATCAATATTTCAAATGCCACAACAACATCGGGAAGGAATATAATGAGAAAAATTGCCAACATGACAGTTAATCCAACTTAGATATGGCGTTTTGTTTTGTGTTTCGCTGAGCACATCATATGCAAGAAAGGCACATTTATCATGATTCTTGCCTCCAAAAATCTTAAAAATGTGAGGAGAAAGACCCAAGTAGCTGCAACACAGGGTGGGAACTGTTGCATGCACGTAACAGTTGAAGTGTTCTCTGGGTTCAGTACGGGTCAAGGAAGATCGTTGGAGGAAATGACATCAGAAATGGGCTTTGAAGGTTGAGTGCTATTAAAAACATGGAGATTCCAAGAAAGCCATTCTAAACTCTAACTTGGTTTATATTAACAAATGTTTATTAGGCAGAAAGAGAAACAATTTAAATGGATAGTAGAAGGGATAGCATTACTGTGTTGTCTTAGGCTCTTGAGCTGCTGGGTTCTTATTACAATGGGGGAGTCGGGGGAAGAGTCTCATAGTATGTCCTGATATGAGCTGTGAAGGAACAGAAATGGGAGAAACCCTGAATAAGTTGGAGGTGATAACTGAAGATAAGGTGGTGTAGCCAGTAGATAAAAGCAAAGAGAGATAAAAATGGAATGTGAAATAAAAAACTGGGAGGAGAGGAGGAAATACAAAAACTCACCAGTGCTTCTTAAACCGTAATACAAGGACTATTAGAATCACCAAGATCACCACCACTACTACCAAGGCAATCCAATTCATGGAAAAGTGGTGTCCTGCGTGAAAGATACATGGATGCCATTTTAAACTCGCTGCTGATCCTACTCCATCTATTGATTGCCTTACTTAACCTGTGCATGGGATGAGTTGCATCAATTATCCTACTTCAGTCACTCTGTTCCCAAACTTACTCAAGGACGGATTCCTCACTTCCCCTTAAACCTATAGTATTGATGTGCCCTTAGGTCCTACTCCTCTATTTTTAAATTACCCTATTCATTTCTTTCTACAATCCCTCACCTAAGTCTACTATCCTCAGAATTTCCTCTCCCCAACCCTCTAAGCTCAAGAACCACTACGCACACTTCCGATCTTCAATCTTACCCCAGTAGAGGATGATGTCCTGGCCTCCTAGGCTGCTGTGTCTCACTCGACAAGACAGGCCAGCAGCCTCCTCAGATGCCACATCCAGGGTCACTTGAAGATACCATGTCCCATCAGCATTAGGAAGAATATCACCATATTCAGTGCCCAGTTGCTCCTCTTCATTTCGCATCCATGTCGCCCAAACAGGCTTTGGGTAGAAGCCGGAGACATGACAAACCAGCAATAGCCGGCCAGACCCAAGGCTGGGGCGACTGGACAGCCAGGCCTCTGGCCTCACTGCAGAGAGCAGAAAAAGTATTCTGATGAAGAAACTTACACACAGCTTACATCCACATCCACACATCCACATTAATATGCACAGTTATCTTTTTCCTGCTGCTAAGAAACTATCACCCAGCAAACCCTCTGTTCTTGTCTTCTTTCTTGTCCTAAGTTTGAAGGGTGGGAGGGTAAGAGGCAGGACTTGAACAGAAAAATCTTAGATGAAGGAGCTGAAACTACTGACCTTGCCTATGTAGATACATCTTCCCTGAGTCCAGGAGACCCAAGAGAAATCGGGGGCAGGTGCTTCTTAGGAGAGTATATACTGTTTCCTTAATGCCTTCGTACTGATTCAGTAGATCACAGACACTTTGGGCCAAACTCCCACAGTCTGGAGATGGCACCCATGTTGTATTTTGGAAACTCAGTAAATCTGCTCCTTTGAAAGCTACCTGAAAAAAGCTTTTGGGGCTCTCTCCAGAATGCAGCTCACAGCCTGCATTCATCTGTACCTCGAAGGGATCTGGAGGAAGGGAGGAATGAGAAAAATAGTTCAAACAAAAAAGTGAAAACAACAATATCAAAATCGAGGGCTGTATCAGGAAGTGAAGCAAGAAGGTTTTATATGGGTGTGAGAGTGAGCCAAAGACATATTTGATCAGAAACGAGAGAGACAAATTGTTGGGGATAGGGAAGGGGAACAATAAGAGATAAGTGCCTTGAATTAACAACAACAACAAAAAAGTGGCAGAGGAATGTGTGGAAAAATGATAGGTGAGCCACATAATATAGGATATAGGGTGAAGGGGGAGCCCGTGTGAGGGAGGTGTGAGGATAGCAGTTCATGCATGATGCATGAAATTAGTCAGAATGGTTGTTGAACTGTGGACATAGATCTTTGAATAAAGTGAATGAGGGAAAAGATTTTATTTTAAGGAAGTCGAGCACAGAGTGGGACAACTGTGTACTTCTGGATCATAGTACACAGAGGAAGACCACAGGAGGAAGATAACAAAGCACAAGAAAAAAATATTCCAAAAGTAGCAAAAGCCTAGGAAATTTGAAGGAGTCAACATCTGGAATATTCCCTAAAAGGTTCATGTATGCAGAATTTTATGGTGGGATGGGATAATGGGAAACGGTCCAGAAATTAGGAGAGAATATTTCCCAGAAATAGAACATTCTGAAGAACTCCCATAATTTAGTTGATTGAACTTACATTCTACGGGATATTGACTAGCACGGGCTTGAATGTCCTGCATTAATCCAATGCTGTAGGCACGAAATAACACGTTTAGGTATAAGAACTCCTTATTGCTGAAGTTGCCCTTGGACCAGGTATGCAGGAAACGTATTGTGTTTGATTCACGCTCCCAGCCATGAGTTTGCAACTCGTCCAGCCATCCTGAGCCATGACATTGTGCCCAGGATTGGTTGGCAAATGATGCGGTCTGGATAACACGGAATGAGACGTGTTCCGGGGCTGCTCTTGGTGGAAGAAGGCCAAATTCTATAAGGAAAAAAAAAAAAAAGAGAGGAAAGGAAAATGGAGAGGAAATGGAAAGTGAACCAGTTACCATGGAGAAATGTTAATGACTACTTTTGCTATAACACGTTCCTTACACAGAGCCCGATGCTCTGCCACCATCCTTCAAAACAGTAAACTGCACCAGGAGATAGGTATGCTCAGATGGCAAGCATTCTGGCATCTTCACTGATCCACCGTGGGAAAGCCCGCCACGCTCTACCCAGACACATGTAACCCTGCAGCTGACAGAGATGTTCTTACCGTCTGCATTGTCACCACCTGGGAGGAGAACAGCTAGCAACAGAAACTGCAGAAACAGCATGTCATTTGCAGATGTTCCTTTCTCTCAGCAAAGCTGTTTGCTGATCTCTGTTCTTAGCAAACTTACCCCTCTGTATATATATTCTGACTTCCTTCTACCAACAGACGATCTTCCCTACAAGCCACTAACAGCAGCTAAGAAAGTCTGCTTCCCTCCACCTTGGGCCTCCTACTCAGCCTCTCATTTCCTCACCTGCTCTGAACTGAAGTTATTCTCCTGTCTCAGGATTTCAACTGCTCTCCCACTAAGCTCCTTCATATCTACTTTCTTTCCCCAACCACCTTAGACAAGGTGGTGTGTGGCATTGAAAAATCACTTCATCCCTCTGAAACTTGCATATCATTTGTAAGATAAACAAGAGACACTGCATTCTTTTTCCAGTTCCTGTTTTAACAGATCACATTTCTTCCAGCTTCTCCCCTTAACTTTGCCTCCGCTCTCCATAGTGTCCCCTCTTCTCATCACTCCATTCTTTGTTTTCCCCTTCTGGATGTCCTCAAAGTTTTCTCTTTCCAATTTCACCCCTTTTTGATCCATCTTTCTTATTTCCTTATTCTCACTGATTCTTTTATAAATTTGAGATCTTGCTTTATCTTCCAGGATTTCCCTGTGCGGCTGTATAAACTACAATCTACTCTTTATTATCCTTAGAGATAAAATTGTAGTCATTCAGATTGCAAAGGTCCTTAACAAACATGAAGAAGTCCTTCTATTGCTCTTAATCTGTATAGTAACTCTAAAAAATTACACAGTACATGGTTGGTACCAGTGTCTTACTAGGCATATAAACATACAGAGATTAACACTGTAATCTCTTCTATCAAAGAGCTTTAAACTGCAGAACACATTTAAAAAAAAATTAAAATGCATTGTGATTTTCATTTCAATGTGTAGAATACCAGATATAAATCTACTTAGAATTATATTCTCTAGAGAAGCATTTGACTGCCTAACCACCTGGGAAATTCATAATTTGAAGTCCTGGAAGAATAGTAGGCATTTCAACTGAGCACTAAATTCTATACTGTATGGAATTGTATTGGATTATGGTAGTCAGAACATGCAGCTTTTTCAAGAGGACTCATACATGAGGAGACCACAGAAATCTATATTTAAGTTAAATTTTGTGATCTGATCAAAATGCATTGTATATAAAGGGCAGCATTTGTCAATATTTGATTTAAATAATTTATATGAAGTATTCAGTGATTCGTCAGTGACCCTGGCTGGTTAATATGTGTAAATACATGAACACACAATCTTTTTGAGATCCAGGAAGTATATTTATTATTATAGTGTTTCTTAAATCACATTAATTATTCACTGAATGTATTGGAGCAGACACTTAAAATGTGGGCATGAATTTGTGCTGCACACAGTGGCTCATGCCTATAATCTCAGCACTTTGGGAGACCAAGCTGGGAAGACCACTTGAGCCCAGGGGTTTGAGACCAGCCTGGGCAACAAAGTGAGACCTCGTCTTGACAAAAATTAAAAAGTTAGCTGAATGTGGTGGCATGCATGTATAGTCCCAGCTACATGGGAGACAGAGAGGTAGGAGGATCTTTTGAGCCCTGAAGGTCAAGGCTGCAGTGAGCCATGTTCATGCCACTGTGTTCCAGCCTGGGTAACAGATCAAGACCCTGTTTCAAAAAGAAAAATCCCATATGTAACATTGTTTCTTTTTCAGATTTATTTTTATTCTACATATTTACTGTGTAAACAAGATGCTTTGATATATATATGATTTCTTACTTAGATTTGTCCATGTTAACAGTGAGGCTGGAAGTCATTCTCAATGAGCTCTTCCTATCATGGCCACAAATATTTGGCAATTTCTATGGGCTACAAAATCTTTAAGAGCAATACCCAGTTCAAGCCCTACCCTAATCATTCATAAGCACCAGGTGCCATCTTTGTCCATCTTGTGCTATTAATGGCAAATACTTGGTTTGTGATTTTAGAAAACAATAGCAGATACCATACTATGTGTTTATTACATCTTTTTCCCCCATGGACCTACAGGAAATATGCAAACTTATTTCCTAATGGTTGGGTTAAGGTCATGGACTGGGTTCTGGGCAATGGAATGTGTGGTGCTGGAAGCATAGGCCAGCTCCAATCCTGACCACTGAAAATATCACATCTGATCATCTTGCCCTGCAGTACCAGCTTGGTGGTCAAATTTCCAAATGGCAAGGCTATGAGATGGAGAAGAGCAGCCTGATCTACATGCAGTTTACCTATATGAGAAATAAATCTCGTTGTGTTAAGCCCCCAAGTTCTAAAGTTTATGTGTAACTGCAACATAACCTAGCTATATTGGATAATATTATAAAAACCCAGTAAGTATCATCCTTTTTGCCCTCTTGAATGCAGAAGAAAACAAGATGAAAATAACACGAGATAGATGGATCTAGTGGTCAATCTTGACTTCTGATAATGCCACTAGATAATTTGCTTTAAGTGTGTAATCCAAGTGATCTTGTTCATACCGGGCCCTAAATGGAGTAGCCTTCTCACTGTTATGGACTGAAAGTTTGCAAACCCTCCCAAAGAAAAAAACTTCACATGTTGAAGCCCTAACTCTCAGTGTGATTATATCTGGTGATGTAGCTTCTAAGAAGTAATGTCAATCTCATGTCTATAGGATAGGGCGCTGATCTAATAGGGTTGGTGTCCTTATAAGAAGAGATACTGGAGTGCTCTTCCAATTTCCTTCTGTCTCTGCCTGTGTGTGTGTGTGTGTGTGTGTGTGTGTGTGCACGTGTATGTATGTCTGTGTCCATATATCATGGAAAGGCCGTATGAGCACACAGTGAGAAGGCAGTTGTCTGTACAAACCAGGAAGAGAGCTCTCACTAGAAACTGAGTCTTCCAGATGGAGATTGTGAACTTCTAGGCTGTAGAGCTGTGAGAAAATAACTTCCTGTTGTTTAAGCCACCCAAGTTATTGCTTTGTGTTAGAGCAGTCCAGGAAAACTAATACACTACTTAGTCCAGGCAATCCTGAAAAAACCCTAAGTTTCCGCATCTGAGCGGCTGTTCCCGTGAGAGCTAGGGCCTGGAGGAGGAGAGCAAGACTGAGCCATCGGGGAGCAACTTGCCCACAGAGGTAAAGGGCAGGAGGAGGTGCTAACATAAACGTGCCCAGTTTCCCTCCTGAATTTATCAGTGAGATAAATCACTCTGTTTTCAGAGGAAAGATTCAGGGGTGAGGCAAGAAACAAAAAGTATTTAGGGGAAATTCCCCCCACGGAACCTAGAGGAGTAAGTACCACCCCCACCTTTGTCATGGCAATACCCATCCAAATAGACACCTAGAAACGTGTCTTCTCTAGAAACTTCCCTCTCCTTTGCTCCCCACTGTCACCACGTCATTTCTCTCCACCCACCTGGTGTTTCCTCTCTGACCTGACTGATATGCAGTCCTACCTTCATCATGTGGGACACTTGATGAGAAATCACGGCCACAGTCCCAGCCTGTGTGCCACAGTGCATGACGCTACACACAGCACTCTGCCCCAGAGTTGCCACGAGAAATGTGATCCTGAGAACATCTATCTCATGCCTAAAATAGTCCAATTGCTTTCATGAAAAATAATCCAGACTCCTAAGTATGACAGTTTTATACACAAGAGTTTACATATATCAATCCCCAAAAAGGAAGGGTGGAGGAAGTGTAAGAAGGAAAACTGGCAGACTCTTCATACTGGTGAATACTTATAAATATAGATGCAAGAATCTGAAATTGATATAAAATGCAATGGGGAGAAGAGTAAGTGGTTATTAAGCTCTCTGAACACACAAAATCCTAAAAGAATAATCTGAAGTGGGTGGGACACCCTGTGATTAGAACCCCGCCTGAACAGAGGGGCTGGGCTGTTCTGAAGGAGCCCAGTACGTTTCCTGTCACCAGCCTTCCTCAACTTCCCTTTTCTTGTCCTTTTGCTCAGACCAAAAATGTTGCTGTGTTTGCCTTTGCCTGGGCTCTTCTTGCCTGTCACTTCCCTAAGACCACTCCAGTGGATGACTTTTGCACCCCAAGAGAGAGAGCGTTCCTCAGAACTCCGAAGTCATGTCCCCACCCAACACAGTCTCACACTGCTCTGTCGTCCCCTTCCCCTCCAGCACAAACCTTGCCCTCTGACTACTTCCCTACTAGAGAAATCCCACAAGCCTTCCACAACCACATGACTCTTAGAAAGGCTTTCATTTCCTTCTCAACTCTTATTCAAATGATTCACTCTCTCTTTCTGGCCTACAAGCATATTTCCTGTGGCTAGCCTATATCCTCCACCCACTCTTACCTTCAACAGCAAAATGGTCTCAGTCTGAGAGCTATGAAAACTCCTAAGTGGACCACTTACTAGAACCACCAATTCCCCACTGTAAAATGACAAAATTGGAAAAAATTGATATTTTCTAATTCCATTTCAACTTTATTGAAATTGGCCGGTGCTTCTGTTCATTTCTGTTTACATAGAATTTTCTTTCTCTTCTCTGCTTCTTTGTCTTAATGTCATACTTTTCTATGATCTCATACTGCTTTCTACTTACTTTTGTTTGAATTCCCTGTGTCTCCTCTCTATCTTATCACCAATTCTATCCTAAACTCCCTACCCATTCATTCTAAGCAGCGCCCTGACTAAATTTTAAATCCTAAAGTATTGCCTTTCACTTGATTCTTAGATTTCTGTGTGTAAATATATGAACCACAGACAAAGCATTAATATCTCAAGAGAAAAGACAAGAAACAAATAAATTACAAAACACATAGATATACCGGGTAAGGTATACTTTTAAAAATTATTTATACTTGCCTACATTAAACTCAAGATAAGAAAATCTGCAAGAAACAAAAAAGTAAGAAATTAAAAACTAGATAGGGAAATAGAAGCTAACAGTTGAGCTTCACAAGACATTGACAAGAGTTAGTTCCTGAGGGCTTTGACTACAGCATACACATAGGTCATGAAATCATGTTGAGACCATCAAATAAAAGTGCAAGTTGAAGGAGAAATCTTCTACTGTATCCTCAGTAAAGCTGGCCCGGGGAAAAAAAACTGAACCAAAAGACAAGAAGGAATCTTGTGGTCACCTTACGCTCTGGCTAATTTTTTTTCTTTCTGTCCTCACAAAAATTTGTAATCACAGGTTTGCTCTCACATGTGTTTAGAGATTAAAAGTATTCTATTGTCTCGTAATGCCCAATCCAAGAAATTAACAATAAAAAATGATTCCAAGCTTGTAGTAGTACTATATCACTCAGAAGCACACAAAACTGATTTCTGGCACTCTATCACTCCAAAGTGAACACAAAAATAGTCAACACAATCAACACAGTCTTC